CTGAGCTCTTGGTGTTTTTATGGGTCAAGCATGCGTGTGATTTGTGGCAAATGGTTTGTGTATCTATAAGAAAAAGGTCTTGAGTGGTTTTGAAAGTCAGAAGTACAAGTTTTAAACTAATTGCTAGGTTACTTGATTTTCAAGAAAAATGGGAAAACAAGTTTCAATGTGAAATACAAGCATGGGTTGGGTGATTGTAAGTGTCTAAACCATTTATCTTGTGTTATGAGACATGTATGATCAGAAGAGAACAAGTGCAAGGCTCAAGAACAAGTTTTGTGCAAAAAGTCACTTTATCAAAATGGCAATGTGCACTTTCTTCCAATAATGGATATAAAGCATGACCTTGCATTGAATGCTTGAAATGAGACCTCTAACAACTGTGCAAGCCATTAATTATGGAGTTCATAACAAGTTTGAGGTCTTCAAAGTAGAGATTATGCATCATAAATTTGAATTTTGAATTTGTTCACCACAAAATGACTTGTAATTCAAGTGATAAAACCCTAACTTCATCTCTTTGATTCTCCCTACTCAAAAATGATCTCAAGGAGTTCTTGGACATTTTGGAAAGCTTGAAATGTGATATACAACACAACTTTGAATCACTTTTGAAAATTAACCTTGGAACTATATGAAAAAAGTGCCATGAAGTTGGGACAAAATCCTGACCAAATTAGGGCAAAATTTTACTAAGTGTTTTGTTTCATGACCATGTATTCTTAAAATTATAACTTGAGATACAAGCAATTTTGGAATGAGTTGTGTAAATAAAAGTTGTATATTTCATGGAGATCTACAACTTTCGTGTTTGAAGTTTCTTCTGAATTATCTTGTATCATGGTGAAAATTTTGCTCAAAGTTATGAAAAAATAAGAAATTTCCAACACTTAGAAAAATTTCTAAGTTTAGAAATTTTAACTTTTCAAAATGAAATCTTGAATTTTGGATTTCTTGATGAATAAATTTCATATTTTGATATATTTTGATGAACTGTGATCTTTGGCATTTGATTTTGACCAAAAAGTCAAAGTTTGACTTTTCAGTATACAATTGACTTTTGATCAGTTGACTGAAAATTCATCTGTCAATCCATTGGACTTGAGCAATGCTTTGAGCTATGTCATTAGGTAAGAATTATTCAATTGTACTCTTGAGATCATGCCTTAAACCAATTGATCATCTGCTAGGTCAAAAATAAAAAATTACCCTTTCCTAGTCAAAACCCTAATTTTGACCATTTTGCCCTTTTGAAGATTTGATCAAATTTCTTGAGGAATTATGGTCCAAACTTGATCAAATTATACATATGAGTTTAAAATGTTGATGTGGATAAAAAATTATGAAGTTTGACTGTAAATTGGTCATAGTTGACTTTTTCCCCAATACAGTTGATTTTTAGGTCAATTGCTCATTTGACTGAGCAAAAGTGTGATCCAAAGCTTGAAACTTGACATGAGTAATCTTGAGGGTCCATAATGATCCATGAAAGTCATACGGTGCATTGGAAGTTCAAATATCCTTGTGTAATCTCAAACCCTAATTTTGGTCATCGGTGCTTAAGGAAGTGTCTTGAGCTGATCAACCCTAATGCAGTCTTGAGCCAAAGGAAATCTTGTGAGCAAAATCTTGATAAGTGAGAGAGAAAATTTTGGGGTACAACAGGGGGAAACAAGGAAAGAATCATGGCATTAAGGCTATGTTTTAAAGCCATGATCACACATTTGAAAAAATGCCATAAGTGAAGATTCTTGCCAATTTTGATGATGAGTGAATCTGGACACTACTTGCACGTGATTGTGGGCTTCAAGATGAGTCAAAACAATAGCCCAAATGCCTAAGCCCAATTCCAAATATTTTATACAAGTTATTTTATATTTACTTGAAATAAATTAAAATAAATATGTAAAAAATAGGTAGAAAATACAAGGCCATGCAAAAATAAGATTAGAGGTCCACTATGACCTTAGGAAGATATTTGAATCTTAAAAAGTTAGGCCATTGGCTCAAAAGTCCAAATTTGCTCAATGCGCCATTCTTGAAATTTCAAAAATTTTCCCAACTTGGACAATCCATAACTTGCTTAATTTTTGTCTCATGATGATGATCTTGTACTTTTTGGAAATCCCAAGATGTCTACTTCAATCCCTCTTTTTATAAATTTTGTATTTGAAGATGTTATCTTGATGTAAAAGGTCTTGGCAAAAAGTGGCTTTTGTTTACTTTCTAAAACTGAGTTGTAATGTATGAAATTGTATCTTTCAAATGGTGCATTTCTTGAACTTGAGGGCTCAAGAGAAGTTGTAGGTCATTGGATTCTCTTAAAAATGAGCTTTTGTTGGGGAAAAATGGATGAAGTATGTGAAAGTTATGTCTGGTCAAAGTTTGGTTGACTTTTCCTATAGAAACCCTAATTTAGCAACTCTTGACTTTTGATGAATTATGAGTATTTCTTGAGGAATCATGATCAACCCTTGATCAAATAACGGATATCACTTCAAAATGTTGATGTTGACCAAAAATCTTGAAGTTTGACTATATTTGGGTCACATATGACTTTTGACCTAGTACAGTTGATTTTCCAATACTTGAGCAATTGACTGAGCAAACTTATTGAGCAAGGCATGAAACTTGTCATGGATGATCTTGAATACATATTAGGACCATGTAAAGCATTTGAGACTTTTGGAGCTCAACCACCTTGATGAAAATTGAAACCCTAGTTGGGGGTTCATTGCCTTAGGAGGAGAATTGTCTGGTCAATTCTTGGTCAACCTTGAGCAATTGAGAACCTATAGGAGTATGTCTTGTGTGAAAATTAGAGGGAAAATTTTGGGGTACAACAGTCCCTCTAGCTTTCAGAAATCAAACTTCGTTCATATGGGAGTATGGTTTGGTCATTTGGTTTCAAATTGCACAAAAAAGCAAGTTGCTTCATGATGAAGAAAAAAAGTGATTCAAGGGACTTTGTCATGCTTTACTAGCTGCTATAAGATTACCTCTGACCACCAATATTGTTTTTAATATTTGGAACAAGTCACAAGCTTGAATGAATAGAGTGGTTAGCATAAAGCTTGCTTTATCAAAGTGGATTTGTTACTTTTTACAAATTCAACCATAAGTGGTATCAAGATTTGGACAAAGCATAAAATCCTTGTATAATACACTTAGGGCCTGTGTAATTACTTAATTATAGAGATATTTGGAGATAACATAGCCTGAAAAGAGAGATCTTGTAGCTTTGGTTGGAGTTTTGGCCATAAGGTCATCAAAAAATGACTTATGATTCAAGTTTGAATGGCCAACTTCTTCTCTTCTAATCTCATAGCTCAAAAATGATATATTTGTATTCTCGGACATTTTGGAAATCTTGAATCAAGATCTACGACTTTCATGTTTCTATTTTTTGCTGAATCAATTTGGATCTTAGTGGAAAATGGCCATAAAGTAGTGACTTTGTTAAGAACAAAACACTTAGAAATTTTTTCAAGTGTTGGAAAATTTTCCAGCTTTTGACTTTTGTTGACTTTTTTTTATTCTTGATGATCAAACTTGATAATATTGAATGTTTTGATGATTCTTGATTTCTGAATTCCAATGTTTTGACTTTTGTGTGATTGTTGACTTTTTTTATCAATTCTTCAACTATCAATCACTTGCATCTTTGGAAATGTCTTGAGTCGTGTAATTAGGTCAAGATGTTGTATTTGATCCCTTGAGATCATGCTTTAATCCATTAGGTCATGCAATAGGCCAAAAGTCAATGATCAGTCATCTTCAATCAAAACCCTAATTTGGCAATTTTCGACCTTTGATAATTTGAGGGCTTTCCTTGAGGAATCATAATCAACCTTTGTTCAAATGATGAATATCAGCTAAAAATATTGATGTTGACAAAAAACTTGAAGTTTGACTTTATGTTGACCATAGTTGACTTTTTACCTAATTTAGTTAACTTTCAATCTTGAGTCATTGACTTAGCAAACATGTGATGCAAGAATTGAAGCTTGACATGAGCATTATTGTGGACCCGTGATGAACCATAAAAGTCAATTGAGACCCTTGCAACCCAATATTCCTTGAGAAGCACAAAACCGTAGTTGTAGACCCTTGCTTAGGAGGAGGTTTGACCAGTCAACTCTTGAGTAACTTTGAGTATTTTGAGACCTTTTTTAGCATGTTTTGAAGAAAATAGGAGGGCAAATTTTGGGGTAGAATAGTATGCACTAAGCCTTCGATTACTCGAGAAACAAGTGAATGTACATTCACCTATTCTCTTTTTAATCCAAGTTATTTGTAAAAAAATGTTTTCGCGAAAGATGAGTAACTGATCCAGGCAAAGTGTACACTAAGTTTTCGTTACTCGAGGAACAAGTGAATGTATATTTTCCCTTCTTTTTTTTTAATCCAAGTTTATTAAATGTGTCTTTTAAAAAAAAACAAATAATCGATTCGGGCAAAATGTACACTAAGCATTTGATTATTCCTGGAACAAGTTAATGTACATTCACTCATTCCTTATTTAATCCAAATTTTTTTAGAAAAATGATTTGAAACAAATTCGATTAAATTGTGAAAAGAATTTAACAAACATAATTTTATGATTTTTTTATTATTTTTATATTTTATTTTTACTAAAATTAAAGTAAAATAATATTTAAATGAAAACAGGATGCATAAACAAATAAGGGGTGCAAATAACATACCAAATTTAAGTGGTAATGGACCCAAAGGCCCAATAACACATTAAACACAATAAAAAAATAAAAGAAACAACAAAATAAAGAGGATAAAAAACAGCATAGTCGCCCCCTCTTCATTATTAAATATATAACTCATAAGTTCTTTTTAGAGAATCGTAAATCATGGTAAGCATGTTATATGGTATGTATTCAACTATATATATTTTAAATTCTATGTAAATGTACGACACTACAATTACTATAAATTATAACACATGTTAGAATAAAAAATTCAAATCAAAATATTAAAATTAGACTTTACACAATAAAAATAAATATTATAATGAAATTTAAATCAAATCTGCTATCTTCTTTTTGCACTCCAATATTTTCTTCCACTTCATCTTTTAATTTGCAGAACACGAACAGAGAGGGAGGCACAACTGTTGTTGATGATGGTTTCAGATCTGGACAGCGGTGGCGCGAGTCGCAGGAAGGGGTTTTATGCGGTTGTTGATGGCGAGTTTGAGGATTGGTGATGGAACTGAAGGTGATTGGAGGAGATGAAGGTTTTTGATGATGAATAGTGTTTGTATGGCGATACAAATGGAAGATTATGAATACTGTGGTCTTTGGTGTGAATGAATTTTTTCTAAAAATAACTATGAGAGAGAGAGAGATTTGTGTCTGGTTGACTTTTTCTTGCTCTTCTTATGTGTGTAAATTAACTCCTATTAATTTTTTAGGTTACCATAAAAGGAAAATATACACAATGACAAATCATGACCAATTAAAAAACAAAATGACAAATCATGGCCAATTAAAAACAAGAACTACACTATTATTTGTCACACACAATCCTTAAGAATTTTTTTCTTCAAATAAATTGATTAACACTCTTCTCAAAAGTCAACCTTTGAGATTTGGTTGACTTACCTTTTGTTACTTTTTTATTAAAATATTAAAAATTAAAAAAATGAAAATAAATATAAAAATATTTAAAAGTTAACCTTTGACTTTTGGTTGACTTATGTTGACCTTTTATATTAATTATTTTTTAAGGATTAAATATATTTGTGATCTTATAAATATTTTAACTTTCGTTTTTAGTCCCTCTGAATTTTTTTTTCAAATAATGATCCTCATAAAGTTTTTTATCCACCATTTTAATCCTTGTTGTCAACTTTCATTAACGGAAGCTAATGTGGCACGCCACGTGGAAGACAGTTTAGCAAAAATCTAAAAATATTTGAAATTGCGGGGGTTTTAAAACTCCATTAAAAAATTCATAAACTTCTAAGAACAAATTCCTAACAGGTATTTTATCAAACACCTTAGATGCATCATTCAAAATTGCCACATTGTTCCCAATCACAATCGCAATTGTTTCACCAACAACAACATCAATAACAGTAACTAGAGAAATTAGAATAGATTTAGGAACAACAACACCAACAACAAGTTTCTAATTACTGCAAAGTTTTATATTTCCACCTGATAACAAAGACCACGGTGGAAGAAACTTCAACAAATTGCTGATTCTTGGAGGAAGGGGAACAAATCAGCTTGACGTGTCAGGTTAAAGAACTTGTCCTACAACACTACAAATGGATTTCTTTTGTTTGTTTCAGTGGAACTACCTCCAAGTCATGTGGACATGAGGTTGGATTCTATAGCACAATGTAACTACGCTTGCTTCACCAATCGTTCTTGTCTTTCTTTTGCTTATGATTTGATTGTTGTTAACTGCATGTTATGGAAATACGAAGTACCGACTCTGAAGAACATCTCAACTGATAATCAAGATGGTGATAAAAATAAAGCAATTTTTTGTCAAACTTGTTGCCTTATACATTCTCACCACAGGAAATGTAACAAATGCAGCTAGCAGACATGGAAACATGAAGAGGAATTTACTTCTAATTGTTATTTTGATCTCATTTTTAATATTACTTATACTGCTAAAAATAATTTTATTCCAAAGGTTAAATGTATGAATTTAACGTGTGAAATACGAATTTGGACCTTTTTTCCACTTCTTTGACATGAGATTTTATGGGTTTGGTTTGAAGTTATTATTGAATTTTTTGGATTTGTTTAGAGGAGGTTTAAAACCCCTGCAATTTCACACATTTTCATATCTTTGCTAAACTATCTTTTACGTGGCGTGCCATGTCAGTTTCTGTTAATGAAAGTTGACGGAAAGGACTAAAATATTGAATGGAAAAGTTTACGAGGACCATCGTTTAAAGGAAAATTTTAGAGGGACTAAAAGCGAAAATGGAGATATTTATAAGGACCACAAACATATTTAACCCTTTTTTTTAAATAAAAAAAATGAAATGCAACTAAAATGAGACCAATAAATGACTAAAATGATATTAATGATTCCACGTGACAAATGAAAATGATCAAATGGAAAAGAGAAATATGGGAAAAATTTAGGGTACGACAACTGCCCCTATTTAATTACCTTTAATCTGAGAACATGAGTGATAACAGTCTTCATGTAATCATGGTGAAAGATAATTAAATACAAAAGGGACCCCAAAATTTTCCCCAAGGTATGAAAAGAAATATGGAAGAAATAAGAAAACATCTAGATCAGGATAGGAAGCAAGATCGTTGTCAAATCGTGAGTTGATGCTTAGATCAAGGATAAGGAGATCGTTGTCAACTCGAGAGTTTATGCTTAGATCAAACCGGAAAAGATCATCGTCAACTCGAGAGTTGATGCTTAGATTAAAAAGGACAAGATCGTCATCAACTAGAGAGTTAATGCTTAGATCAAACAGGAAATGATCGTCGTCAACTCGAGAGTTTATACTACATAAAACAGGAAATGAACGTCATCAACTCGAGAGTTGATGCTTAGATTGAACAGACTGATCTTTGTCAACCCAAAGGTTGATGCTTAGAATAAATAGGATAAGATCGTCGTCAACTCGAGATTGATGCTTAGATCAAACAAGAAATGATTATCGTCAAATCGAGAGTTAATGCTTAGATCAAACAGGAAATGATCTTCGTTAACTTGAGAGTTGATGCCTAGATCGAACAAACTAAGTATCGTCAACCCAAAGGTCGATACTTAGATCTAGACAAACTGATCGTCATTAACCCGAAGCTCGATGCTTATATCAATACAAACTGATCATCGCCAACCCTAAGGTCGATACTTAGATCAAGGCAAACTGATCGTCGTCGACCCGAAGGTCGATGCTTAGATCAAGACAAACTGATCATCATCAATATGAAGGTTAGTGCTTAGATCAAGCTAAGGAGACTCGCTGGGGATATGAAAAGTCAACACCCTCTCATGAGTTAGTATATTACTTTTAATAATAAGATAAGGTGATTATTTACTCCTTCCGCTTACACCGGAAGGTGATGGGGAAAATAACAAGTGTACTATTTTTCCTCTTGTAATAATAGGGAGACTCCCCGAATGTCGATCTCAAGGATTGCATACAATTATTAAGTTCAATTCACGTTCAATTAAACAAAAACTTAATTGGGGTTTTGGTTTAGGAATTGTCACTTAGTAGAAATAAAAAATAAGCAGAATGTAAATTAGGGCTTTTTCACATATATGAGGAGCATGATAGAGTATGGTGTATAATTTGCTCTATAACAACCTTGAATCATGATGTCTTCAACAAGTTCATATCCTTCAATTACCAGCCCTTTAAATTATCTTCCCCTATGTATTTAGTGGGAAAACCTTTAACCATTCATCCTAAATCCTAAGTCCTTAGAGATATCTGATAGAGTCAAGCCTTTATTTTATCAAGAGTGATCTGGTAACTATAGGGTATCCCTAGTCCTAGGTGATATCTATTATAGCCTAATCGTACAAAAACCTTAACAACTGCGGTTCGGTTGGTTGTTAACCGTAGATCAATCATAATTGGTCTGATAAGGAAAGCATGAAAATATTTCACAATTAAATTGAATAAGAAAACAACTTTATTAAAGACCTCAAGATTTCATAATCATTACATATTCAAATCAGAGACACCCCCTAGCATTGGGGGGTTTAGCTACTCATATTGTTCAAAATAACCACAAGACAAAATATAAACATTACAAGGATTGGGATGAACTTTGATCTTCAATTACTTCCGCGCATGAAAATATCCCGCTCTCCAAAAACCTTGACTTCTCCAATCTTCAGCTGTGTAAACTATTCTTCGCTGCCAAAAAGTCCCGGAATTCATCGTGAAAACTCCTCTAAATAGAAAACACTCACTTAGGTCGGTTGGAAATACCAAGAATGACCATCTGGGTCACAAATAGCGAAAACTAAGGAAAAAAATGAAAAACCAGCGTAACTGGCCAACACGGCCGCCCGTGTTGGCCCTCTGGTATTTAAATTTTTTAAACAACTTTCAGGCATGCTGACACAACTAGTTTCAGGTGACACGGCTGCCTGTGTCAGCCCCCTGGAATCTAGCTTTGCACACACTCATATCCTGACACTTCCTGTGTTACGTGACACGCTCACCCGTATCAGACCCCCTTTAGCATGAGTTTTGCACTTTCTCTAAAACTTTGAGTTTTGCACTTTCCTACACTGATTTGTCCCGATTTCTTCCCGTGAGCTTAAAAACAGTAAAACACACAACTAACGCATAAAATGTAAAAGAATGAAATGAAACGCTTGACAATATAAAGAAAAGATAGCTAAAATCAATGGTAAATATATGTGTAAAAAACTATTGATCAGCAGGTTGATCGACAAAGGATCGAATAAGAGATTCACAGAGAATTAACTGGGAAAAATCTAAAAGGAAGCTCCACCGGAGAAACCTACCACCAAGATTCAATAGGGAAGACCCACTGGGGATTGGTTTAGATATTTTAAGATGAATATTCATTGGGGTAAATCCTAGAAAGGACTCATTGGGGAAAAGCTTGTTGGGGAGAAACTTTCAAAGGAGACCCTGTGGTAAAATTACCTATTAGGGAAACCAACAAAAAATAATGTTGAAACAAGAAATTCACTTGAAGATTTGTAACTATATTAGCTCGGGATTAATCTGGACTTCCACGAGAAGTCACAGAATCTCGGCTTATGGTACATATGCGTGCTAAGTGTATATGCATTTGTTAATGTGTGATATGTTTTGGGTTGATGCATTTGTTAATGCGTGATATGTTTTGGGCTGATGCATTTGTTAATGCGTGTCGTGTCTTTGGTTGTCTGGCATAGTACATCACATTTATGGATATGATACACATGAAATGATGCATAAAATGTAATTCTTGGATGTATGTAATGGGTTAATGGACGGGCGCCAATGGAAATTGGGCTTCAATGTGAGTATTTCAAGTAGGGCTTGGTTTTCTTTTGAATAAAAGGGCTAAGCAATGTTGAAATTTGGAATTTCGGTGAAGATTGAGCTTTGGTGTGCCAATGAAGGTTGGTTAGGCGTCAAATAAGGTTAGGCCTTTGTAAGGTGCCAATAAAAATTGGACTTTGTTCTTGTCACATTCATTTTTACAAGGCCTTATGCTATGGGAATATGCCAGATGAATGCAATGATATACATGGCATGATGCTAAAGCAAAGTGACATGATTAATGCATGACAATGATTTGAATATTTCAACAAGTTCCCATATGGTGGGAAATAGAATGGTTAAGACTAGGAA